AAAGTAAGGTGAAGAAGTTAAGCAGCTTTCACTTGAAGTAAGAAACACGAGATCAGTCAACATCAGGTTAGATGGAGCTGTAAGCTTGTCTTTTTCTCTAAACAAGATAGGCTGTTGAAAGAAAGCAGTTAAACTTTTTTTTCCAATTAAAAATTTCACAAGACAGGGCATTGTGGCACAAGCCTTTTAATCTTGGAAGACAGAGTCAGGTGGATCTCTGTGAGTTTGAGACCAGCCAGGTTTACATAGCAAGTTCCAGGCCAGCTGGGGCTACAGGGAGACTCTGTCTCAACAAAACAAAACAAATCAAAATGGAGTTCTAGGACTAAAGCCATGCGTCACCACACCCAGCTTTAGAATTTTTTTTTTAAAGACAGGGAGGGCCTCACTCCATAGTTCAGATTGTGCTTTATGTACCCCAGGTTGGCTTCAAACTCTCAGCTATCCTCCTGCCTCAGGCCCTTGAACACTGGGTGAGCCATCATACCTGGCTTTGTCCTTCCCATTCCTCTGAGGAGCAGTTGAAGCTAACAAACGGTTACTTACACTGAGACAGAGATTCCTAATGACCCCTTAGCCCAGTCTTTACGTGGCTGGAGGTAAGGTGGGGTTCACAATGATTCTGGCACTTGTACCTCTCTCCACCATGGCTTCTTGCCAGGATTCAGGTCCCCGACCAATGGAGCTGATAGAAATCTTCAAGCTGTTCCAGGTCCAGTTCAACCGGAGTTACTCAAGCCCGGCAGGTATCGTGGGCACAGATGTTCCCAAGCCAACCTCCCTCTGCCCATTTAATAGATGAACTTGTGGCTCAGGGTGAGGAACAGACCTGGTCCAGGTCTCTGAACAGGACAGGAATGGCCCAAGGTAGATTCCATACTTTCAACAATGCATGGTGGGCACAGGATCATGGTTTGCCATTAAGTCAGAGGGTAAGTGGTGGCTGCTAGGCACCTGTCTGTCCCAACCTTACAGGATCCTCTCACTTTGTAGCCACCTCCTTATAATTTCAGGCAGTGGGTAGAGGACCACCATCTGGTCAAGCCTTCACTTAGCAAATCTCCAAGGATACCCATTTTGTCCCTAAGGTGGCACCCCTTGTCCCCATTCCTGCCCTGTAGATCCCCGCCCCCGCCATTGGCAAGCCTAGCTGCCAGTTCTGTTGCCTTCTGTGGAGGTCTCATCTCCCACAAAGGGCTTGTCTGTGTGTGTGCACCGTGTACCGTCCTCCCCACCACTCCCTACTCCACCTCTACACCTGTGGTCAGAAGTGTGAAGGGAAGTTGGGGGGAAGTGCAGCCAGCCCAGAGGTGGCCTGGCAGGAAACATGTCTCCAGACACTCTCACTTTCCTTTCTGAGTCACTGTCTCCACAAATCTTGCTCAGCTTTCCCCCAGGGTGGGCAAATGCCTCTTGGGTGCCTCTGGGGAATTCTTAACCTCAGGTGGGCTGGATAACAACCACTTTCTTAGTCCAGTGTCTATAGTGGAGCCTGGGGTTTGGGGGTGGGTACAGGAAAGAGCCAGTACTCACCTGGCTGGGTCTGAGTCGCTGAATGTCCAGCCAGTGGCCACTTCCTGTCCTGAGACAACTCCTTTTTGGCCTAGAATATGCTCGCCGCCTGGACATCTTTGCCCACAACCTAGCCCAGGCTCAGCGGCTTCAAGAGGAAGACTTGGGCACAGCAGAGTTTGGGATGACCCCATTCAGTGACCTCACAGGTACCAGAACGCTCCTAGCCTTAGAGATGGTAGGTAGGGGCACAGCAGAGTTTGGGATGACTCCATTCAGTGACCTCACAGGTACCAGAACCCTCCTAGCCTTAGAGGTGGTGGGTAGGGAAGCAGTCTTCCAGGGAGACTAGCAGAGAGCAGATCTTCCACTGTCAAGACCAGCTGGAGTAGAAGTGTCAAGACCAAATCTCAGAGTGGAAGATGTGTGTATCCTACCACCAGTGCCCCAACCCAGTCCAGGAGCTAGAGACAGCCAATGTGGGAGACTGTACCAGTGGGAGCTGGCCCTCTCAAGGCCTCAATATCTCTGCCTGGCACCTCCCATGGTATCACATAAAACAGAAAGGGTCAAGGTTGAGGATGGCTGGAGTGAGAGAGGCAGAACACAGGAAAGGTTGTCAGCCCTGTGATCTCTATGGCTCTGTCTGCCCCTAGAGGAGGAGTTTGGTCAGCTGTATGGGCATCAGAAGATACCTGAAAGGTACCCCACTGTGGGAAAAAAGGTAGAGTCTGAAAAGTGGGGGGAATCAGTGCCCCCCACCTGTGACTGGCGCAAGGCAACTGACATCATCTCGCCTATCAAGGACCAGGTATCTACCCCCACCTAGTTTGACCCAGTCTACCCTAAGGAGTGGGAGAGGAGCCAGATCTCAGCACCTTACCCTACCCAACTCTCAAACCCTCCAGGAAAAGTGCAATTGCTGCTGGGCCATAGCTGCAGCCGACAACATCGAGGCGCTGTGGCGCATCAGATACCGCCAGATTGTGGACGTCTCTGTGCAGGGTACTGCAGGGAGAAGAAAGATGTGTGACAGGGAAAGATGGCCAGGGGCCTGCTTACCTATGCTGTCCCTTTCTATCCCAGAGCTGCTGGACTGTGATCGCTGTGGGAATGGCTGCACTGGCGGCTTTGTGTGGGATGCATATATAACTGTCCTCAACAACAGTTGAGTACTGAGCTCTGCTGGAGGATGGCAGGGGTGGGGGTGAGGAATTCAGGATCCAAGACTCCTCCCTGGACTTGCTTGTCTCTAGGCGGCCTCGCTAGCGAAAAGGATTACCCATTCCAGAGGCATGCCAAACCCCACAGGTGCCTGGCTAAAAAGTACAAGAAGGTGGCCTGGATCCAGGATTTCATCATGTTGTCCAGTAATGAGCAGGGTATGACTAGAGTGATGTGGGGGTGGGGACAGGGATGGAGAAACAAGAATGGAGGCAGACAGGTCCAGCCATGGTTTGACAGTACCGTCCGTACCTGTTTGGTAAGAGCTGCCCTGGGGTAGACAGGGTTTGATAGCACCTTCTATCTCCAGTAATTGCTGGGTATCTGGCTGCCCATGGTCCAATCACCGTGACAATCAACATGGAGCTACTACAGGTAGGTGGGATGGGGGTGGGGGGGCACACAGGGGAGATGGCCCCAGACTCAGTTGCATCCCCATCCCTGTAGCATTACCAAAAGGGTGTGATCAAGGCCACACCCAGCACCTGTGACCCCAGATATGTGAACCATTCTGTCTTGCTGGTGGGTTTTGGCAAGAGCAAGACAGAGGAGGGCATGCAGGCAGAGATGACTTCATCCCAGTCTCGTAAACCTCGCCACCCCACCCCATACTGGATCCTGAAGAACTCCTGGGGAGCCCACTGGGGTGAGAAGGTGAGTACAGCTGACTGCAGGAGGGGCTAGAGCATACTGGTTCTTCTCCACCACTTGGCCCTGATGCTCCCTAACTTTCTAGGGCTACTTCAGGCTACACCGGGGGAACAATACCTGTGGCATCACCAAGTACCCATTCACAGCTCGAGTGGGCCAACCAGTTAAGAAGCTGCCAGTCTCTTGCCCACCTTGAGGGCAGCAGCTCCTCCTCAACTTCTCCTATGTGGCAGCTGCCTTCCTTGCCAGCCCTACCCTGAGGTTCTGCCTGCCCTCCCCATCTTCTCCATATGGTTTAAATAAACTAAGACATGACTCCTGGCTCCCAAGTAGACTCAGCTGGGGTGTAGAGGGAGGGTTGAGGAGCGAAGACCCCATCTATGTCATGGCTTAGTTCCTGAGGGGACAGTGTACACATCTTTACACATGATCACGGCACTCGAGAACACACGTGCAGGTTGTGCATGGCCCCACAGGCTCTTAGACCTGGAACAGGGACTAGTCTCCAAATTCATGGAAACTTTATTGTTAGTGTACGCAGGAGGGAGAGAGAGGGCCTCAGTCATGATAGAGGCGCAGGAGGCAGCCACGGAGGGTGCCCATGTAGCGGTCCCAGAGGGCCTGGTGCCTGTAATGAAAACAGAAACCATAATAACTTAACAGCAACCATAGCCAGTATTTGCTCAGTACCATGTCTGGGGCACTGCTGTGTTTTCTATCCATTAACTCATCAAGTATAGGTTTTGGGGATCATTTCTTTTTGGAAACAGTCTCAACTCTGTGGCCTTCGCTGGCCAGTCTCTTCTGGCCTCTGCTGGGACTGCAGACTTGACCCATCATGCCAGCTTTTCTTTTTCCCCTAGTGATGAGGCTAGAACTTAGGGTTTTGCACATACCAGGTAAATATACGGGGGCTGTGCCCCCGGGTCACTTGGTCCTCATAAGTTCTTATGATTTCTGATTTTTGTTTACATATAAGCAAGCTGAAGAAGAGGCGTTAAGTAACTTGCCTAAGGTCACAAAGCTAAATTAGAAGTCTTTCACCCCCCAGTGGAACCCTGAGTCTACAGGAGATCAAAGTGAACTGGACAGGACTGAGGTCTCTCACCGGAAGCCATCTAGGGAGTGGACAGATGCCGAATACTGATTGAGGAAGAGCCGCACATCATTCAGTGGCCAGTGGTCAGAACGGCAGGGTTCCACAAACTGTTGGTCCAAGGGAACATGGAGCACAACCACTATACCTCATGGATGGGATGGGTGGGAGTCAGAGGGTGACAGGCAGGGCTGCTCACCTTCTCCACCAGGTCCACAAATAGGTCTCTGACATCCTTATTGTGGGTCAGCTTGGCGGCCACATTCACCAGCCCCCGGGACAGGTTCTGTGGGGCAGGGATCCTGGGAGTTCTGTCTTCTGCCTCAGAAGCACTTCTGGGGCTGAGCACTGAGGCTGGGGAGAGGGCCAAGCCCCTCCCCAAATCTATCCACCTCCCTCAATCAACCAGGTCCCCTTTGTTTATGAGCTGGTTTCCCCTCATAGGCAGACAGAGGGCACAGTAGTGCCACCTGCTGGTTAATCTCAGAACGGGTAGAGCACAAGAGGCTGAAGACACCTTAAAGGGAGAGGCCACAGACCTTGAAGTTGGCTTCCATCTCAGAGAAGACACCCAGCTTTCCCCGGAGGGTGGTGCACACCAAGCTGTAGGAACACAGGGTCATACCAAACCCCCCCAAACCCAGTTTACACCCTGTCCCACGGAACCCCAAGGTCACCTTTTATGCAAGTCTAGCAGGTCCTTGTCAGCTACTAGAACTTTGAGCTCCTTCAAGTCTTGGAGAAACTCCTTGTCTAAGTCCACATCCATGTCGTCCACCTGGGAGTCTGTGTGAGGCCCAGGAAGGAAGTTGTGGGTGGGTGATAGCTCATCCTATAAAATCCTGAGCCTTCTTCACTCACTATCTCATTGTACCTCACAGAAGAGAAAATGGGATCTCAGACATGAAGGTGTAATCATGAGCCCCAGGCCATATGAGTAGCAGGGCCCTTGGTCTGTAGACCAGGTGTGTGTAGAAAGAGTGAACCATAAGCAGAGGTAGAGCGGGGCTGGAGCTGAAGAAGAAAGGACACTGGGCACTGAGAAACTGCTGGCAAGGAGGATTCAGGCACCTGGGTCAGTGGGGGCCTCACCGACGGCTCCGAGGGTCCAGTTCTGGATCATGAGCTCAGCACAGAAAGCAAAATCACCAAAGCTCAGATACTGCAACTTTTTCTTCCCTGTTTCAAAGCGATTGTTGGCAAAAAAGACGATGGCTGCATAATCTCTGCAGATAGGGGACAGTGAGTTTCTCAGGACTTGAAATCCCTCCTTGTGGGGCTTATGTCCATGTCTCAAGCAGTAAGCTCACTTAATAACTACTGTCGAATTTTTTTTCTCCACCTGCAACCTCAGCTAAACATTTTAGTTCTGGCCTGCTTCTGCCCTAACTCATCATGTGACCAACCACAGATCACTTCTCTATGGACCTTTCATCTGTACAAAGGCTTTCTAGGGAATACAATAGAAAAGACCAAAAGGGTTCTAGCACATTCTAAATACTTTACATATGCTGGACTGGGACTTAACCCACACTGGTTTGATCCAGCACATAGGCCATAAATAGAATCACCATCCTGGAGGATAATGAGCTTAAGAGGATTGAGATGGGAAAGGTGGATCAGTCTAAGGGCCAGGGAAGACAAGGACAGGTACGAAGATGGCTGGCCCCTTACCTGGCCAAGCGGTCAGAGAGGAGGAAGTGTTGCTGGATATTATCCACCAGGGATCCCCGCATTTCTTCCACCACCTTGAAGACTCGCTTAAAGTTGTCAAACTGTAGGGCAGTTAAGGAAGGGATAAGACTGGTCAGAAGGTGTTTATGTAATGAAATGCTTATTGGACCCTCTCTCCTACCCACCTATCCAGTGGTTGATGCTGATTTATCACTAGTCAGTCTTCAACTATTAGCAGCTGTTATTAATTCAACAAACGTTGGTCAGATTTTGGTAGTTTTCCTTGGAATAAAATAAATTTACTCCTGCCTTAAGTTCGTATGATCATGTTCTCTGATTCTTTGAGAGCTTGATGTGGAATGGATTCTCCTGAGTAACTTGAAATGAGCTAAGCCACACATGGGGAACTCAGGAGTCTGAGACACAGAGGAAAGGCACCCAAGGACCCAGAAATTTTACTTCTAACACCAATAAAAAGGCTCATGGGTAAGGTGGCATCCAGCCCCTTGCTGTGGACTTCAAAGGGTAGATATGGCCTAGAACAGTAAGCCTAGAGAGGTCTGCAGGGACAAATCAGAGCCCTGAAGGTCAAGGTTAAGGACAGTGAGAGCCAATGAAAATCTACAAGCAAGAAAAAGCCAGGGTCAGAATTGGCCCTATGATAGGTCACTCTGGCCATAAGGGAAGGAATGAATTCGGAGGAACACAGTATGGGAAGAGACTACACAAGAAGCTGCTGCAATTATCACAGGTTAGAACCAGAGCTGGGGCAGTGTGCAAAAGGACCAAAGGTGGGGGCTGAAGAGATGGCTCAGGCTTTAAGAGCTCTGGCTGCGAATCCCAGCACCCATATGGCAGCTAACAACAGTCCCAACTCCAGTTCCAGGGGATCTGACTTCCTCTTCTGACCTCCCCAGGCACTGTACAACGCCAGTGCAATTACATACATGCAGGCAATACACTGATATACATAAAATAAAAATAAATTTAAATTTTTTTTAAGGATCAAAGGGTAGACTCGATGGGATGCGGTGTATGTGTGTTTGTGGAACTCACCTGCCGCCGGCAGCTCTTGAGGGTAATGCCTGTTTTGGTACTGATGTCGTCCAGGTCTTTCTTGGTGCCCTTGGACAGCTTCTTGCCCAGGACCTCCCTCACAAAGGCTTCGTCAAAGGTGTAGTACCTTGTGGAAGCAAAGGACATCACTGATGGTCCATAAAGGAGGGGGAAAGGCTCCTAGGATGGTTCCTTCTGTTCTCAACTTTCTAATTTCCCATCCTTCCCTGGGTCTCAGTTTCAGCCTGCAAAATGGGTATAGGTCAGATTGACATCCCCGTCGTCCCCCAGGTGAGCACCTCTCGATGAGGAGCGCCTGTCGGGAGGGAGGGATCTGGAAGATGAGCTGGTGCAGCAGCTTAGGCGGAGCGTGCAGGAGACGCTCCAGCATGTGAAAGGTGCGGTAGTGGTCCATGGTGTCGCTCTGCAGCACCCCCGCCGTGGCGCCCGTCTGCTCCAGGATTCCGGAACGGACTCGTAGGGTCACCGCATCGTTCACTGGGGAGTGGGCACGACCTTAAGGCCCCATGTTGCTGATCCCAGAGGCCCTCCTGGGGCTCCAGCTCCAATACCCCTCCATCCCTTAGTCCTAGCAGTCTGCCCACTTCCCGAAAGGAAGCCCCGGTCCTAGCCACGCCCCTTTTCGCATACACAGCCACTGCTCCCTCCGAGCGACCTCCCGGCACAGACCTGAGTAACCATCCAGCCAGAGGCGATACACGTCCTCGTCGATGAGGGTCGTGTTCCCCACGAAAATGTCCAGTTCGCTGGTCATGGCGATGCACGGCCCGGGATTGCCCCGGAGCTCTGGAGCTAGCTAGCACAGTCCCAAGCCCTGGGGTGCAGCTGCAGAGGCACTTCCGGGAGCGCAGAGATTCCGCTCCCGGCACCCGGAGCTAAGGAAGGACCACTTCCGGGACGGACCTGGTAGGGTGAAGGTAACTAGGGCACAGGGTAGAACCTTGCACTGTGGAGTGGATGCTGCTTCTGCGGGGAGGAGGAATCCCAGACCCCTGCGCCCTCTCTATTCTATTTTCTGCCAGAGGTTTTCAGGAGGGTGTCCGAGGTGCCTCCTGCCAGTCTCCCCAGTCTTGCAAATGTCTTTCTAGCATCTTCTCCGCCCTCTCTGAGCTCCCTCAACTTCATCCTGTATTCTAAATCAGAGGTTTCACGAGGCTGTATCCTAAACCTGCATGTGTGGCCCTGCTGCCAGTCCTTTAGGCAGATGAGCATCTTTTTTCTCCTTACACTCTGCGCCCCCGCACGAGCAGGTGACTTATCTTAAAGCCTTTCAGAGCTCTGCCTAGGAGTATGCATCGGCAGGTTCACTTATCTACTAAGGCTGTCCACTCTGTCTACTCATAAACCAGTCAAAAGGTCCACACTGGGGCCTGTAAGATGGATCAGTGGGTAAAGGCAATTTCTATCAAGACTGACAACCTGAGTTGTTTGATCCTCAGGACCCACATAATGTAAGAGATGACCAACTCCTGTAGGTTGTCCTTTGATCTTCCTAGGTGGTGCTATAAACAGAGAGAGAGAGAGAGAGAGAGAGAGAGAGAGAGAGAGAGAGA